ACACTTTAAAAGAATGACCTGGGCTGGGCATGAAGCAAATGCCTGGATCTGTAACACTGTGGGAGGCTGAGGCAGGAGGGGCCCCATGAGAACGAGGTCAGCACTGAACTATGTAACGACACTGTCTCAGCCACCCCTGTCCACCATAAAAAAAATGAAAAGGCTGAGGTGGAAATAGACACATGAGGCCCTGGGTTCAAATCCCAGTCTTTAGAAAAAGCCCTGCGCCCACCATCCCAGGAACCTGGCCAAGCTGTGGGACTGCTTGTCCCCTTTGGCAGGGCTGGGGTTACACCTGGGCCGGGCAGGGGCTGGGCAGCCACTCCACCCCTGGAGACCCCCAGCTGCCCCCAGCCCATCCCTGGGGCAGTCAGAGCCCTCAGCTTCCCACACAGCTTCCCAGGGACAGCTCAAGGGACTCTGGCGGTGCTGCAAGAGCTGAGCGTCAGCTGTGTCACGGTGACAGGGACGCAGTGTGGCGTGTCCTCCACACCAGGCACAGCCTCGTGGCGTAGCCGCACACTCTCGGCAGCACCTCCACCCCTCTCACTCACACGCATGACTGTCACTGCTCATCAGGGGCCCATGGAGTCTAAAACTGTCGTGTGGGGGCCGCACCTGGGCCACATCCCCGCCCTTCCCACGTCCCTAGCCTGGTTTCATCATCTTGAAAAAGCAGCTAACGCTCTGCCCTCACACTGCGCAACTTGTTTGGGTTTTTTTGAGACAGGGTCTCACAGAGTTCAGGCTGTCCCCCACTGGAGGCAGTCCTCCTGCCTCAGCCTCTCCAGTGCTGGGATCACAAACCCTCTGCTATTTATGTGTCACTCTTCGATTTACAACTCCCTGTCCCTCTTCTGGTCACCCCAGTCCCCTGATCCTCAGGGGACAGTTCCAAGACCGCTACTGGATACCTGAAACTGCACAACGACAGATAATTCCGATCTCTGCAATCACATATTTTCTTTTCTTCCGTCTTTTTCCTCAGTACTGGGGTCTGCACCCCAGGCTTCGTGCACACTCGCAAGGGCTCTACCCCCAAGCTCCACTCGCTACATGACCCAGGCTCACCCCAAGTTTGCCACCCTCCTGCCTCAGCCTCGCACGCACCAGCGAGTCGCCCTTTCCCTAAGGACCAAGCCCGCCCCTGTGCTGCAGCTGCCCCGTCTGCAGCGCGAGACGCCACAGCAGGAGGAGCACGCTTCATTTGCCGTTCGCCACAGCTTCATGGGCGGAAGGTTCGTTTCTGATCTTAGCAACCTCTGCACCTGACTGTTCTTTCCGGGTTAAACAGAGCGCTTCTGCCTTCTCGGCTGAAGGAGGCGCCTGATGGCTTCTCTCTGCCACATCCGACTGCAGGCCACCATCCCCTACGGGGCCAGGAAGTAAAGGAGTGACATGGACATGGTGCTTCCATGCAGGAGAGCAGGACAGCGCGAGGGACGCTGCTCGGCGACTAACACACAAGCTGTGCCTGCAGTGGGACTCACTGGGCAAAGGGAAGGCCCAGTCAGGTCTCGGGCGGGACGGGAAAGGAAGGAGGATCGCTGCGAGTTCGAGGCCAGCCTGGGCTACACTGCAACCCTCTGTTCCCCCAAAATAAAGTAAAATAAACAAAATAAAATAGGAGAGCAAGATCTGAATGACAAGTCCTACACCTTGTTCCCAAGTCACAGCGGAGAGACTACTGCTTGCCTGCAGCTCTGAACTGTTCATCTTGCCTCTGACCCACCAGGTGGATTCTGGTGGAATCACAAAATCATGGGCGAGAGCCAGGAGGACAGCTTAGCGGCATAAGAGCCTGCCTGGCGGGCACAAGGTCCTGAGCTTGATCCTGGTACAATCAGCAAAGCAAAGCATGATGGAAAATAGCAGTCTGGTGATTGCTCAGACAGACACAGAGTCACACAGCAGCCCCACCTGACGTCCATCCTTAAGAGAAACCCCCTCCACTCACGGAAAGGCTACCCAGGGTGTTCACAGCTGCGGCGCTCGTTAGATACCGAAGTGGAAGTGTTCACCGGCTCAGGGGGGCTAGGGAAGTGCGGCACCTTCTCACTGTTAAATGGAGTATTAGACAGCCATAAAAAGAATAGAGTACTGACTCAAGCTGTACGTGGGCAAACCTGGAAAGTAGCCTGTGGAGCAAATGAAGCCAGACGCAGAAGGAGCTCAGCACACCTGGAGCTCCAGAGCGTGCAGCCGGGCTGCGGGTGGCAGCTGAGACCCAGTTTCTTCAGTGGTTCAAGGAGGCATTCCAGGGTTATGCTGAATGCTTTAGGTGTGAAAGACAGAAATAGTTTTGTCTTGCTCCGTTCTCTCTGCAGGGACTCACTGTTCTCTCTCTCTCTCCCTCCTCTTGTCTCTGTCATTGCTCTGTCTCTATCTCTGTCATCTCTGTCTGTCTGTCTCTCTCTCTCTCTCTCCCTCTCTGCCCCTGTGCCCGGGAAGCCTCCTGGGACACTGGATGGTTTCTCTGGCATTAGGGTACAAAATCCCTCACAATCTGTTACAAAGCGAGACCACAGCTGGAGGCCCCATCAGCACAGAAGCTGCCTGACCCAGCTCAGGCGCTGCCCCTCGGGGGTGCGTGGGGGGCGGGGCGGTGTCACTCGGCTGTGGTCCCCACGCACACACGACTGGGACCCATGTGGGCCGTGAGGATCCGTGTGCCAATCTTCTGGTTTGGTTCTAAGCATAGAAGCACTGCGAGCTCGGTGCCTGAGTTGGACAGAAGTACACACCAGGTCCCCGTACCACGCTGCCCAGCCAGGAGGACAGAGGCGACCAGGCGGCATCTGGGGTAAACAGACTCCCCTTTCCCCTTTAATAACAAACCCCAAGTTTCTTTCCAAGTCAGGAAATGCAGGTCAACCTCATGGGCTTTTGTTCTGTTTTATTTGTGGCGCTGGGGAATCAAACTCCGGCTTGCTCCGCCACTGAGCAGCAGCCGAAGCCCCTCGTATTTTTTATTTTGAAAGATCTCAGGAAACTGCCTCCACGGGACTGAACTTGGGATCCTCCTGCCTTAGCTGCCCAGAGCGCTGGGATCACAGAACTCAAATTTTAATGGCTGAGAAGTGTAGATGTGCGCTGCTTGACTGATCCAAGGAAATTAGTGATTTTAATTTAATTTTTTAAAAATTAATTAGGGCTGGTGAGATGGCTCAGTGGTCTAAAGCACCTACTTACCACAAGCATAGCAAAGCCCAGGGACCACGTTCAATCCCCCAGCACCACATGCCAGCCAGCCCTGCCCCCTGGTGGGCTGAGCTGGCCACACACACACACACACACACAATAAAATTTTTTTTAAAAATTAATTAATTAATTAATTTTAGTACAGGGTCTCACTACAGAAATTAGACTCGTAGTGATCGGCCCAGCCTCAACTGCGGTCTCAGCGCGCCCCGGGGCTGGGGCTGGTGCAGCGTGCCGGGGATCGAACCCCAGCTGCTGTGCTCTGCCTAAGCAGGTGCTTTGACCTGCTGAGCTATTTGGCTGGCCCTTCATTTTAATTTTTGCTGAACTTGGGATCCTCCTGCCTCAGCTGCCCAGAGTGCTGGGATCACAGAACTCAAAACATCTGGCCATAGTTGCCCCTCCCCTGTGTCCTGTGAGACAGTTACTGTGTAATACACTAGTAAAAGCAGGTTTACTGGGTCTAAAGATATCCTCTATATATATATATATATATATATATATTTTTTTTTTTTTTTTTTTTGTTGTTGTTTTGTTTTGTTTTGAGACACAGTCTCACTATGTGGTTTGGGCAGGTCCAAGCTTACCAGGTCACTCAGACTGGCCTCGAACACATAGAGATATACCTGCCTCAGCCTTCCGAGTGCAGGGGTAACAAGCCTGGGCCACCAAACCTGGATTAAACCTGGTGTTTGTCCTTGAGGTTCTCCCTCAGGAGCCAGCCTTGGCACTGTGGGCTCCAAAAGCTCCTTCCTCTGGGTACCGCTTGGAGAATGAGTTGCCCGGAACCCACAGAATCGGCGGTTCTGGGCCGGCCACTGCAGGTCTCCCCCAAATGTCCCCAGTGACAGAGTGGGGACATTAGGTCTCAGAGCTGTGTGCGCCGACGGCATGAGTGTGAGACACTACATTTGTGGAAGCAGCCAGCGAGGCCTTAAAGTTCACGTTCTCTGGCCTCAAAATTCTACTTCTTGGACTCTGAGGCAGGAAAATCATTTGAGAAGCTCGCAAAATCCACACTCCGGAAAAAAAAAAAAATCCACACTCGGAGATGCCCATCCCAGCCGCATCTCTGCCCAGCCACTGTGCTTGGGATGGGTCGTCCAAGTACACAGCTGTGCCAGGTTTAGTGGTGCACACCTGTGACCCCAGCACTCAGGAGGCTGAGGCAGGAGGATCAACGTGAGTTCAAGGCCAGCTTGAACTGCACAGCAAGGCCTTTCCCAGAAACGAAACAGAGACGAAAAGCCACATTCACGTCCTGCTGGCTTGGTCTCACCCAGTGACAGCAGGATCCACGCTCTTCGGCCTGCGGTCTGACCAACATCAACCTGCCCCACAGAAGTCGCCTGCTAGAAACAGCGAATCTTTCCCCTAAGTCTGTCGCTCAAGAGCGCATCTGAAACGCCCAGAACTTTTGCTACTTCCATTTATGCAAGAAAAGTACTAAGTCTCTATGCTGACCTCTAAAGATGACCCCCATCTCAGCACGCCCCGGGGGCAGGGCTGGCCAAGCAGCACCCCCCAACCTCCTCCTACCTTCTCCTCGGATGGGTAGAAGCCAATCGCCCTCATGACAAAGGGGACCTCAGCCAGGCAGATGTGCTCGGACACCTTCCTGGTCTCCATGGTATCGATGCCCTGACTGCGGATCTGCGAGTAGAAGAAATAATCTTCCAGCTCCTGCGAGGGGGGTGAGGAAGGGGCGTGGTCAGCGTGGCCGCTCGGAGCTGAGCAGGAGAGGGCTCTCCCCGGCTGAAGCACGGGTTCCAGCGAGCCTTGGCCCTGGGAACATTTACCCTGCAGAATTTTCCTTCCCTGCCACCGGGCACCATGCCATAGAACGGGGTCAAGTCTTCGCCCCCAAGAGAAACAGCAGCATCCAGGGCGCTGGAACAGAGAGAGAGAGAGATGTGGGCGCCAGGTAGCACTGGGCACCAGTGCTGCGCCAACTGAGACCTCTACCCTCGGGGACAGGCACCCCCGGCCCCTCCATAGTGAAGCCCAGGACAGAAAACTCCATTTCAGGGTGCAGTCTGGTGGCACCGGACACCTGCCTAAGTAAGAGCGAGACAGGCGTGCGCCGGGCAACGTCCGCCACGCTGGGGATCGGGCCTCCCCAGAAGCCTGGGCGGCGCTCATGATCTGAAACCGCATCCTCCCTGAGCCAGCAGCTTGGCCCGAAACTTTAGACACGGACTGGGGCTGAGGCTGGGGTGCGGGGTGGCTGCCGACGCTAATTGCGGCCATAAATACTGGGAGCCCACAGGGCCCTGTGCCAGGCCGATAAAAATAACCCTCTGCTCTCTAACTTGGGGTCACAGTCTCCCAAAATAGGCCCTGGAAAGGTAAGAAAACCTACTTTTATGTGCGGCTTACTGTACCTGGTGGGAATGCTGGTGACGCAAGCTGTTTGTCACAATCCGCCATGGGCTCCGTGCCACTCAGCCCAGGCAGTCCCTGACGGAGCTCCCTCCCCGCCCGGGCACCTGGCAGGGCTGTGTGGAAATGGCTCTGACTCGGACTTGCAGCCTCAGTTTCCTCGCAGTGCCCAGGCTCACGTGGGAGCTTGGGGGCAGCTCCACCCGGGAGCTTGCTTCCTCCGCGCTGTGGGGGGACTCAGAGCTGCGGGTTCGGATCCCAGCACCACACCTGCTCCTCCGTGAACCTCAGAGCAAGTTTCTTTTGGGTTTTTGAGATAGTGGCTCAAAATCTTGAAGCCCAATGCTAGGGACAGCGGCTGAGGGGGCTACGTCCCTATTCCGCCACTTAGCAGCCGGCCACCTCTGACTGTCTGCCTAAGTTAAGTCCCTAACACTTAAGAGTACCAAATGAGGTCACCCACTGCAGAAAAGGGAAGTGGCATTACCATATGCCTCCTGCACCTGGCAACAGATCAGTACTTCCTGGTGGCTGCCTGACCCTCACGAAGCCACGAGCACGTGCCTGGCGCAGGGACCTGCTCGGGAAATGCCCGTGCGACAGTGAGAACACGACACTCGGCAACGACACTTCCATTTGACAGATGAAGGAACTGAGACTCAGCGGCGTTAGGGCCTCACCTGCTGCCACTGCCCGGGAGGTGGCAAAGCCCCAGAGGAATGCAGCGCCCTGCGTTTCTCTCAGCAGGGCGCAGGAGAAGAGGAGGCAGTGACATGGAGGGTCAAAAAGGAATGAGAGACTTAAACACATCAGCTGTGATCCCAGATACTTGAGAGGCTGAGGCAGGAGGATCACAAGTTCGAAGCCTTTCTCTAAAAACCTAAGGAATTTAGGAGCCCTGTCTCAAAATAAAAAGGGCTGGGGTGCAGCTGCATGGTAGAGGGCCCCTGTGTTCCCTCTCCAGTACCACACAAAGAAGAGACAGAGAAAGAATGGATGTCAGACAAGAAGGGGGATGATGCTGGCAAAGATGGGGAGGAGGAGGAGTCCCGGGGGGCCCTGGAGGGTTTGGGGGAAGAAGCACCGTGCCTCTGAGCCTGCGCTGACCAACGTCTTGGAATCCGAGGGCATCTACCATGCCTTCTTCCCCTGCACCGCTGCCACCTGGGAGCCTAGCGGGGAATCTTGTCTCCTTCTTAGGGTTTCTACATTTCTTTCACTTAGTGAAGCACTGAACATACTCAGTCACCAGAACTAGCAATAAAGTGCTAGTTTATAGTGATCCTTTGTCCCCAAACAGATTAAATTGAAATGCTCAGAAGTCTGGGCGCTGGCCGGACCCAGCGACGCCATGGAGAGTAGATGGCGTCCTTTTTTGTAAATCTCTATATTCCAGACCCCACCACAGGTAAGCAGAGGACACAGACAGTAAAGGGACTCCTCTCAGCGTCGCTGGCCCAGGCTGTGGGTACAGTGAGGTGACAGGGGCTCAGATGGGGACAGGATCCTCAACCCTGTCCAGGTGGCCCGGCCTGCGCCTGTCTCCTGGGCGACAGCAGAGGTGGACGTCAGCACTGCCAACCAAATCCCAGCTCTGCTTGCTCAGATCCAGGTAACAAGGAGAAGCTGACAACTGTCATGAGGATGAGCTGTGAGGACAGTGGGGATGGACCAGCAGCCAGGGGCCAGGTGTGCACCACAGAAGGGAAGGGAACCGCCCTCGAGGTCACTGTAGGTCCCAGATGGGGCAGCGTGGGGCGGGCAGGCAGGGAGAGCTGCCCGCATCAGCGAGGAGGAGCTGAGGATCAGGCGAGGAGGCCACCACTGACTCTGTGAGGACGTGAAACTGCGCGGTGCTCCTCCAACACTAACCGCCTGGCCCTGCGGCTTCCTGTCAAAGCCCCTCCCTTTACAGACAAGGAATCTGAGGATCAGAAATGGCTTTTTTTTTTTTTTGAGACAGGTTCTCCCTATGTAGCTCAGACTGGCTTTCAACTCCTGGCAATCCTCCTGCCTCAGCCTCCCAAGTGCTGGAACTTCCAGGGTACGCCACCACACCCTGCTTAGGACCAGCTAAGAAAGCTGCCCCATGTCCTACAGGCAGCACAGAACAGGTCCCTTATTCCAACCCTCCTGAGGCAGCCCGAGAAGCAGGGCAGGCACCGGGGAGGCCCGGAGTGCTGTCGCTGAGACCGCACGCCACCTCTGTACTGATGTGAGCAGACGCCACTGGGGCCCCTGAGGGCCAGGCCCAGTGACCCCAGCATGGGGCCAGGCATGGAGCAGTTCCACCACGTTCTGTGGCTGCATTTCGGATTCCCGCTCCTGCTTTCCCCCAGTACTGAGGATGAAGCAGGGTGCTCCGAACTATCTGACCAGTGCTTTAAAAATGTTTGTTGTTGTCTTATACAAAGTCTTACTAAACTGCCCAGACCAACCCCAACCTGCCAGCCTCCTGCCTCAGCCTCCCCCAGCAGGGCTTCCTGCCTGCTGTTGCTAGGTGAGGACTCACAGCTGAACGCACCTCAGGTTGACTGTCCACTGCATGACCGAGCGGTCATGTCCTCCTGCTGTAAAGACAAAGCGGCCGTCATAGGACAGGGCCAATGCCACTACGCCGCTCGGGTGGCAGACCATGGCACATGTCTTGTGCGGGTTGCCATCCACAGGGAGAATCTGCAGCCCCACCTAGGTGGAAAGAGGGAGTTGGGGTTCAGATGGTCCCAGGCCCAGCCCAGCCCAGCCAAGCTCCACCTCCCAACCCTTCTGCTAGAGGGACCTGGGCGACCAGAGCCACCCGGAGTGAGAACTGCGCCTAAACAGCCAGGTGTCCACATGGATGCTTTCTGCCTTTCTCCAAGTCAGCCACCCGAGGCTTTCTGGAATATTCTCACACGAGAGACTCATTAAACACCCAACGAGCTGGATATGGCAGTGCACCACTGTAATCCCAGCACTTAGGGAGCCTGATGCAGCAGAATCCCAAGTTCAAGCTCAGCTTGAGCAATTTAGTGACTTAGCAAGACCTCTGAAAATAAAAAAGGGTTGGAGACATAGCTCAATGCAAAGGCCCTGGGTTCAATCCCCAGCACCACAAACACAAAGCACAAATATGTGTAACAAATGTATGTGACTTCATAAGGTTTTTGTTTCATTTTTGGCTTGAGACATGAGGTCTCCTTACATAGCCCAGACTGGCCTCAAAACTGACAATTCTGTCTCAGCCTCCCAAGTTTTATAATTTTTTACTTTTTTTTTTTTTTTTTTTTTTTTTTTGAGATGAGGTCTTGCTATATAGTCCAGGGTGGCCTTGAATTCCCTCTGTAGCCCAGGCTTGTTTCTATCTCAAAATGATCCTCCCTCACTGAGGTTTTTTAAGCAGGCAAGAAAAATCCTTTGTTGGGTCCTGCGAAAAAAGGGTCTCAATCTCAATCACGAGTCCCAGCAGCCCGAGGCCTTTTCAGAAACCAACTGACCCACACAGGAGCAATTAGAGCCTCAGTCTTGGGGCTGGACTGCTGTCCCTGCCAGGCCACCCCTGGGGACAGGGTGCAGAGGGCAGCTACCTTGTCTCTGTTAATGAACACCAGGTAGCGCTTCTGCAGCTCTGGGGCCGTTCTCACGGGGAGGACTTGGGCTTGCTCCACGGGAGAGCCGAACGCCGGCCCGAGCAGTGTCTTCCTGGATGGCAGAGGATACAGGGGGCTGCGGTTCCCACCAATCTGAACAGCGGCCCTCGGACTCGGCTCGGCGCTCTCACACAGTTACGCGACCCTCCCTGTCTGTTCCTCCACTAATCCCGTACACGAGAAGCTGGACTTACGGATTTATGTATGTATGTGTGTATTTAGAGACAGGGTCTCACTGTGGAGCCCAGGCTGGCCTCAAACTCATGGCAATTCTCCTGCCTCAGCCTCCTGAGTGCCAGGATCACAGCGCTGCTGTGGTGATGGGGTCGTGTGTGCCATCACCTCTAGCCCATTTTTTATTGTTGATTGTATTTTTAATTTCTCTCTTTTGAGGGCCTATGAAAGAAAAAATGACATGGACTCTCCACACCTGGGTCTGACCTCATGGAAACCCACAGGGGCTGCGTGGCCTCCCTGGCTGGGTAAGGAAGGGCCACCTCCGCCCCGCCTGGCCCAGTGCCTGGCTGTGGAGTGGGGCAGCTGCCGCCCTGTGGGGGGTAACATGACAGGTGACAGATGAGCTGTGCTGGGATGTAGCTCGGGGATGCTGAGAACCAGCGGTCATGCAGGTCAGGAGACAGCAAGAAGTGAGGGAGGGCAGCAGGGGACACAGGACCCAGCCTGAGGTCTCAGCCATCTGTGAGCCACTTGGGAGCTGGAACCCAGCAACCCCCCGCCCCAGGTCTGCATCCAAAAAATGAAACTCAGGTCCCAAAGACACATTCACAGCTTTCACAATCACCACTGAGCAAAAACCACCCAGCTGTCCCTTCACTGAGTAAGAAAAAAGCAAGCCGGGCATGGTGGCACGTGCCTGTAATCCCAGCATCTGGGAGGCTGAGGCAGGAGGATGCTGCAAGTTCCAGCCCAGGCCAACTGGGCTACAAGGGAGACCCTGTCTTAAAAAAAAAAAAAAAAAGAAAGAGGAAAGGAAAGGAAAAGTAAGCGGCAGGTGTGCACCTGCACAAGGCGACGAGGCCGGCTGTGGCGAACAGGGAGCCCAGGCGCGCACCTGGCCTGCTCAGGCCTTGAAAACAGGAAGTAAAGGAGCCGCGCACGAGCAGCCACACACTGGCGAGCCAATTATGTGTGAGGTCCTGTCCAGCTGCAGCCTGGACAGATCACAAGCAGGAAGCACGCGGGCCTCCCAGTGCCGGGGGAGGGAGGTGTGGTGGGCACCGGGTTGACTGAGTTCTCCAGGACGAAGGGGTTGACCCCAGGGCTTCCATGCTAGGCATAGTCCCTGGCCCTTTTTGAATATTTTATTCTGCCTTTTTGAGACAGAGTCTCGCTCTGCAGTTCAGACTGGCCTTGAGCTCCCTTTGTAGCCCAGGCTGGCCTCGACCTTGCAGTGATCCTCCTGCCTCAGCCTCCCAAGCTGTACTGTCATACCCCCAAACTGAGCCACCATACATGGCTGTTTTATTTTTTTCCATTTCTCAAAGTGGCACTAGATGCTCTGTGCTCCGGGGCCCCCAGAAGCCACCCTCCACCTCAACTTCTATCCGTGGACTTAGAAGCTTCGTTTGAAACAGATTTCCCAACAAGTGACCTTTTGGCTTATGCCTTGGTGTCCCTGTTCCTGCTGCACTGCTCCCAGAAGCTGGGGGCTGGGAAGAACTTAACAGAGGGACGCAAATCAGCGTCCCCCCACCCCGCCCCATGCCCTCGCTGCCCTCGGAGCCACAGTCCTTGGTATCTGGGAGCCCAGCGTGGTCAGAGGAAGCGCACGCATCTCGCCTTCACTTGACTGGCCAGCACCACCCCCTTGCCTACGGCCTCTTTCTCTGAAGACCTTTTCATGCTGTTTCAAATATTTCCAAAATACATTTTTAAAATTCTTCTGGATTTCTCATAAAAGCCAACTCCTCCTCACTTAAACTGTGGTTATGAGGCTTTGTATTTCTACAATTTAAAAGATGCTTTGTGCAAGGGATTTTATTTTGGAAGGGCAGGAATGTTCTCGAACCAGATGGAGACCGTGGTTGCATGCTGTGAATGTTCTAGTTGCTGCTGTTATCATTCATTTCGTTTGATTTGATTGATTTGCTTGAGCCAATCATTTTAAACAGCTGGTTTTACATTACATGAATTTTACCCCGATAAATCATCGTCTTAAAAGTTGTATGAGTTTGGTGTGGTGGTGCATGTCTGTAATCCCAGCACTGGGGAGGCTGAGGCAGGAGGATTGTTGAAAATTTGAGACCACCCTGGGCTACAAAGTGAGCTCAAGGCCAGCCTGGGCTGTGTAGGAGACCCTGTCTCAAAAAAATAAAATGCGTCAAAGTTCTAAATCTTCTTACA